GAAGCATCTATTCTTTCTATTGTTTTCCTATTTTTAATAGATTTATTTAATTTTATTTATTGTTATTACCTTTTAATTTACTATAGGGCACATGCGCTCACCAGAGAGAGAGAGCGCGAGAGAGAGAGAGAAAGGGAAAGTGAGAAAGCAAGCCAGCAGTTCCAGGACTCGACCCGTGGTCAGCCATGTGGGAGTCCAGCGCCTTAACTGCTATGCTACCGGCTAGCCCTAGGAAGCTTCTAATGTTTCTTTTTTTTTTTTTAAAGAATTATTTTATTTAACTTTATTTATTATTATCATCATTATTATTTTCCAGTTTGATCAGAGAGAGACAGAGAGAGAGAGAGAGGAAGTGAGAAAACAAGCCACCAGGTCCGAGACTTGAACCATGGTTGGCCATGTGGGATCCAGCGCCTTAACTGCTATGCTACCGGCTAGCCCTAGGAAGCTTCTAATGTTTCTTTTTTTTTTTTTAAAGAATTATTTTATTTAACTTTATTTATTATTATCATCATTATTATTTTCCAGTTTGATCAGAGAGAGACAGAGAGAGAGAGAGAGGAAGTGAGAAAACAAGCCACCAGGTCCGAGACTTGAACCATGGTTGGCCATGTGGGAGTCCAGTGCCTTTAACCACCCTGCCACTTGCTGGCCCCACAGGAAGCTTCTAATCTTTCATCTTTTTCTTTTTTGGAAGCTTCTATTCTTTTTTGTTATTTATTTAGTTAGTTAGTTATTCTTGGAGAGGTTTTTGCTATAGGGTGCGTGCGCTCGCCAGACAGACAGAGAGAGACAGAGACAGAAAGCAAGAAATCACCCCTCCAGGGAGGATGGCCATGCCACAATCCCTTCTCCTCCATTCTCCTCTCGGGATCTTGGGCACACACGCACACACGCCCGGCGTGAGTTTTATGCCACCAGGTCTGGGACTCAAACCATGGTCGACTACGTGGGAGTCCAGAGACGTAACCATTACACTATCTGCTGCTCCCAATATATGAACAAACTTTAAGAAAAAGGAGAAAGGGCCGGCAGGTGGCGTGGTAGTTAAATGCGCTGGATTTTCGCATACAGTTCAACTCCTGGACCTGGTGACCTGCTTTCTCACTTCTTTCCCTGTCTCTGTCTCTCTCTCTCTCTGGTCGAAATTAAAAAATAATAATTATGAATGGAATTAAATAAATAAAATAATTTTTTAAAAAACACATGGCATCCTGCTGGGGCTGACCTACATGGGAAGGTTACAGGATCCCATCAAGAGATCTCCCGGAGTTGGGACCAGCAGTTGGACTAATGGCTATGTCGCTGGACTCCCATGTAGCAGACTGTGGTTCAAGTCCTGGACCCGGTGGCTTAAACTCACGCCAGGCGCGTGTGCGTGCATGGCCAAGATCCCAAGAGGAGAATGGAGGAAAAGGGATTGTGGTGTGGTCATCCCCCCCGGGGGTGATTTCTCGCTTTCTGTCTGTCTTTCTCTGTCTTTCTGGTGAGCGCACGTGCCCTATAGCAAAAACTGCTAAAAAACCAAGACAAAAAACTGACACCGGGTGCGTGTGCGTGCATGCCCAAAATCCTGAGAGGAGACTGGAGGAGAAAGGATTATGGCATGGGCATCCCTCTGGGGTGTGATTCCTAACTTTCTATCTCTCTATCTCTGTCTGTCTTTCCAGAGAGTGCACATGCCTTAAAACAAATAAAATCTCTCTTAAAAAAAAAAAGAGAGAGAGAGAGAGAGAGAAGAAAGAAAAAAGGACCCAGTAGGGAGAGACAGAAGCTCAAGTAGAAAGAAGAGGTCTTAGCAAGTTCAGAGCCAGTCACCTCTTCCCAGTTCTGCACCATGCCCATCTCTCTCTGAGTCTCAGGTTCTTCACCCTTCAAATGCATTCAGGAACTGGGACCTGCCAGGTGGTGTGGTGGCTGGAGCACTGGACTCCCACATGGCTGACAGCAGTTCAAGTCCCAGACCTGGTGGCTTGCTTTTACACCCCCTCCACCCCGTCTCTCTTTGGTCAAGCTAAGTAATAATTCTTTTTCTTTTTAAGAACTATCTTATGGGAACCAGCAGTTAGTGTAATGGCTATGTCGCTGGACTCCCACGTAGTCGACCGCGGTTCGTGTCCCGGACCCGGTGGCTTAAAACTCACGCCGGGTGCGTGTGCGTGTGTGCCCAAGATCCTGAGAGGAGAATGGAGGAGAAGGGATTGCGGTGTGGCCATCCCCCTGGGAGGTGATTTCTCGCTTTCTGTCTCTCTGTTTCTGTCTATCTGGCGAGCGAACGCACCCTATAGCAAAAATCTCTCTCTCTCAAAAAAAGAAGTGTACTCCCCCCAAACCAGAACAAATACATTTTTTTTAAATTTGCTTCCAGGTGGGGACCAATAGGTGGTATGGTGGTTAAGGCGCTGGACACTCCCATATGGCCAACTACAGTTCAAATCCTGAACCTGGTAGCTTGCTTTCGCACTTTCCCTCTCTCTCCGTGTCCGCCTCTGGTCAAATTAAAAAATGAATGAACGAGACCAACATGTGGCGCGGTAGTTAAGACTCTGGACACTCCCACATGGCCAACCACAATTTGAGTCCCGGGCTTGGTGGCTTGTTTTCTCACTTTCTCTCTCTCTGGTCAAATTTTTTTTAAAAAAGGAGAAGAAAATTCAATAAATAACTCTTTAAAAAATACGGGAACCAGCAGTTAGCATAATGGCTATGTCGCTGGACTCCCATGTAGTCGACCGAGGTTCGCGTCCCGGACCTGGTGGCTTAAACTCACGCTGGGTGCGTGTGCGTGCATGCCCAAGATCCTGAGAGGAGAATGGAGGAGAAGGGACTGCAGCATGGTCATTCCCCCCTGGGGGCGTGATCTCTCGCTTTCTGTCTCTTTGTCTCTCTCTGTCCGGCGAACGCACGCGCCCAATAGCAAAAATCTCTCCAAAAAATAAATAAATACAAAAATGAACATGGGGGCCGGCAGGTGGCATGGGAGTTAAGGGTGCTGGACTCCCACATGGCTGACTATGGTTCGAATCCTGAACCTGGCAGCTTGCTTTTTCACTTTCCTTCTCTTTCTCTGCTGCTGTCCCTCTCTGCTCAGATTCATAGGAAGAAGAAAGAAAGAGAGAGAAAGAGAGAGAGAGAGAAAGGAAGGAAGGAAGGAAGAAAGAAAGAAAACAATAATTCTTTTAAAAATAAATTTTAAAAAATGAATGAACGAATAAAAATTAAATAAATAATTCATTTTTACAAAAAAAATTGTTACCAGGTATGTGTACTCGCTGGAGAGAGATAGAGAGTGGGAGGGAAAGAAAAAAAGCACCCCCTAGGAGGAATGGTCATGCTACAATCCCTTCTCCATTTCTTCATCATTTTGGGATCTTGGGCACACATACACACACACACACACACACACACACACACAGTGTTTCTC